CACCATGCTTGGGCAGCACAGGGTGGGGGTCCCATGCAGGTGAGTCCGCTTGGGAGGGACAGCCCCAGTGCCCAGCCATTCCTCACAGCAGGGGACCTGGGGGGGGGGGGGGCAGATGGGTCAAGAAAGGGTGCTTTGTGCACGGGGGACAACAACAATGGGGATGAGTGCTCATCAGCCCCAGCAGAGATGGCACCCATCACGTCATTGCTCAGTTCCATCACGGCCCTGTGCTCACACTAATGTCCTGCCAGGACGCTGCTGAGCTCTGGCAGGTTGGGCTGAGGGCAGATGGAATTTTGGGGTGCTGCAGGTGCCCCAAGCCCTCCCTTCCCTATTCGAGTCCATGTGGTGGGTGCATGGGATGAGGCTGCTGGTCAGTCCATGGCCCCACAGCACACATGACCCTATGGGGGCAGCATGGGGTGCCGGCAGCCCTAGGAGCATGCCAGCGCTCCACACTGTCAGTCTTCCCACTGTGGACACCCCTGTGCACATGTCTGCTCACACTGCTCCCCCCACCGCACCTCCCTTCGTGCTCCTCACCATGGCTGATGCCGGCAGCAAGTGGGCCACAAATGGGAGCCGTCGCTTTGTATCTGCTCACGCCGGCGGGGTGCAGGCAGCAGGCGCGGTGCACCTAACCGTATCATTCGATTAGGGCCAGCACAGCCGGGACGTGATGCCCGGCGACTACAGCACTGCGCTGCCAAACAAAGCCATCTGCTGCGAGCAGGGCCTGCACACGCCAGGGGCTGCGGGGGGGTTGCCGGGGCACAGGGCTGGAGGAGAGGGGTGATGGGGGGATTGGCGGGGGCTTTGGGCAGGGCTATAGGGATGATACACCGGCCATGCCCAGCCAGGGCACTAGGGTGCACACGCCAGACCGCATAGGCAGAGGCTCTGTCAGAAATGAGCTCACAGCAGCCCTGTGTACTGGGAAGCCCCCTCGGGGGAGGCTTTTATTGTGGGGTGCTGGGCAGGAGCAGGACTGAGGGTCCCCTAGGGCAGGGTGGACAGGACACTGGCACTGTCCCCACACTAGGGCACACTGCCTGCTTGAGCAGGCTGATCCGGTCGGGAAGCCTCTGATTAAGCTGCTCGCACTAACGAGGCTCCTAATAAGCATCACAGCCAGCAGGAGGGGGGGCAACGCTCCAGCATCGCTGGCAAATGGTCTAGGGGGAACACACACTGCATGGTCCCAGCTCAGCCTGGAGCCCGGGTGCCCAAAGAGGACCTCATCCCTGCCCCAAAGCTGGAGGGCCACCCCCTCTGCTCAGGTGACCCTGGCACGGGTTCAGCCCCATGCCCAATGGGGCATCCTAGCTTTGAGCGACCTGGCACTGGTGCAATGAGAGCACCAGGCCTCTTCTGCCCCCTCCCCCCTTTCCTGCAGTGCGGGGCTTTGGCACATCTGTCCCCAATAAGGGGGCAGCCACATGTGTGCTCATGCGTGCACAAGCACGCGCACATGTGCAAACACTTGTGTGCTCACCCATCAGCTTGCTCCCACCCCCCCCAAATTTTGAAAGGTTGCCTCGTCCTTTACACTCATTAACCATCCTCCCAACCCCACATGGTAAAAAAGGTGGGGACACAAAGATGAGCCTCCCACCTCTCCTTGCTGTGGGGCTGGCACAGAGCCAGGCTGCAAAGGAGGAGTTGCCCCTCAGCAAAGATGCAGCCTCTAGGGGCAGGGGTCCTGCTCCTACACCCCAAATTTTCCATGCATGTGCTCCCATGCAGTTCCAAAAGATGTCTGGTTTGGGTGAAAAGATGGGGGGGGGAAGGATGTCCCCTTGGGGATGTTTGGGGTACCCAGGGCATCCTTCCTTCCCCCTTCCCCAGGGATGCCCCCTCCACATGGCCAAAGCTCCCCCAGCCCAGCAGAATGGGCATCATCCATCACACCGCCTGGCACTGGAGCCTTTCTCATGCTAAGCAGCACTGCCTTGCACAATGACAGCTTGGCTTGGGTGCCCGGATGCCCCCCACTTCCCGAAGGGGCCCTGATTTACGGCTGGGAAGCTTGTGGCGGTGTCAATGCTGGGAAGGGATGTCCCCATGGGAGGCATCTCCAGTGTGGTCCCCCCCTTTTTTTTCCCCCATTCAAACTGCCCCCACAAAGATATTTCAGCCCAGCAGAAGCACTCTGTGGGGTGGGGCACCAGCCTTATCCCCCTGAAACAGTGAGTGACCTCCAATTTCTTCCCCAGCCTCTTAATGGGGTGCCAGGGCTTCTCCTGCAATGCCAACATAGGGTGCCAGTCAGCCCCTGATGTCATCAACCTGATGTCATTCTCTTTGCCATGGCAATGGCGATAAAGTCATGGCTAGGCAAGGCAGAGGCTGCTGGAAGATATAAATAGATGCTCATTACAGTGTTTGCCAAAACATCAGCTCTTCCAGGGTAAGGAAGTGGGCTGCAGGATGCCTGGGGCAAGGGGAACCCCAGCCTGGGGTGGGGGTCTCCAGGGATGGGGTAACTGGGAGACAGGACTCTCCAGATGCGGATGTCCTGGGTGTCCTCACTGGCACTGCGGCTCCTGGGTGCTGTGGTGTGTGGGGGTGCCCCTATAATCAGCCCCCTGCACTCCTTGCTCGTGAGGTAATGAACCCACAAGCAGCAGCCCTGTACCACAGGCTGCTGTGCCCTGCCAGGCTGCCTGTCCTGGCTCTGCCATCCCCACCGGCACACCCTAGCCATCCCTGCCCTCTCTCTGCAGTGCCCAGCCCCATGTTTGCCCCTGCCCTGATGCAGCACAGGCATGGTGTGCTGATATGGGCATGCAGCATGACCTGGGCAGTGGCAGCATCCGCCACGGATGCCAGGACGGGCACAGGCAAGTGGGCACTCCCAGGGCCAGGGTGATGCAGTGCTGAGGGGGATGCCCTGATCACTGCCAATGCGGGGAGGCTGCCCAGCCCCACTGACAGCCCTGAGTGTGCTCTGCCAGACACCTGTAGCAGCACCAGCCCAGCCCTGGAGTGCCATGGGGTGCAGGAGTGAGCTTTGACATTGCTCACTGATGTCCATGAAATTGGGGAAAGGAAGAAGGGGATCTTCACTGGACTCTGCCCCTGCAGCACTGAGAAGGGGTGCTGTGCCCCTCTCTTGCAATCAGTAGGTTCCAGAGTTAATGAACACACAGCTGTCAGGCAATCTCTTCTTGCTCCCAACACAGCTACGGCCATGGAGGGCCTTGGTTCCATGCTGTGCCCTCCCTGCCCTGGAGCAGCCCACATCCCCGGCTGTGGGGCTTGGGAGTGCCTCTCCAATGTCCCACGGCACAAAGCTGCAGCTGTGGCTCAGCCTTGCAGAGCCATTACACCAGAGCCAGCACAAAGGGGCTTGGAGCCATGGTGGTGGGGGAACAGCACTGGCATGGCTGCCACCCAGCCTGGCCCCCCGCTCTGCCCCCCCAGACCTTGCTCTCACCTCCCCACTGACCTGCTGAGGGGGCCGGGGTGGGGCAGCTGCCCGCAGTCACCATCCAGGGAGCCAGGCTGGCCAGCTTGGTGACTCCCCAGCTTCATTGGCACCTCAGGCTCTGGCACAGCAGCTGCCCACCCGCCTCCCCCGACTTGCTGCTTCCAGCGCTTGTCACTGCTTTCCACTTGCCTCCTGGCCAGACTCAGCCCCTCACCACCCACCCCACTGCAGCACCAGCACCCTAGCACGCTGCCTGTCGCAGCAGCATCCCTGCCTGCCCCACACCACAGCGACCTCTATGCCCCAGTTTCCCCCCCACAAGCCACTGCCCCACAAGCCACGTGCCCTCCCTGGCAGGCACAGGCAGGGCAGACTGCACAGCAGGCCAAGTCCTGTTGTGCTTAATGAGGCCTCATTAGCGGGGTCCAGCTGCTTGCAGCCCCACACGCTCCAGCAGGCAGCACTGCCCTCCCTGTGGGCACCGCTGCCCATTCTGGCCGGGGCCAGGACCTGCGTTTCAAGTGTGGCAGAGGGCCGTGTCCCCTTGGAGCCCCTCACTCCCACACCTCAATGCCCACAGCCCCAGACATGTGTTCCTGCCCCTATGCCCATCATCCAAGCAGCCACCTGGCCCCGCATGCCCAACTCTTACCCTGGGCTCTCAAGCGCTGCAGGGACCAGGCATGGCCCTACTGGGGGATGGGGGCACAGGGACAAGCCTGCCTGCTGGCACATCCCCAGCCTGGTGTTATGTACTTCACTCTGACGTCATACCACTGGCGACATCAGGGGGTCTCCACGGCAACCCTTGCAAGGTCACTGCCCCACGGGGGACCATCTGGCTGGCAGGAGTGTTGTGCCATGACCCCTCTGCCACTCAGGCACCCTGCAGCCTCCCTGCTTGCCCCCTTGCCAGCCTGGGGTGGGACTCCGGTGGGGTGCTACGTCCTGCAGGAGGGAGGGCACAGGGTGCCCCCCAGCCAGGCTTGGGGTGTCCCAGCTGCTCCCAGCCCTGCATCCTGGCTGGGGAGCGCAGCCAAGGCGCCAGCGAGGCGTGATGGTACGCTAAGAGCAGGGGGACGGGCCGGC